AAGAGTATTCTAAAAGCTAATAATACATAAGAAGCTAGTCCGTGCCGGAGGTTCAAGGCATCAAGACATGACAGAGGAGATCCAGTCCAAGCTAGAAGCGTTAGCTCACCCTGAAGATCCGGTGTAGTAAGACTGCCTTGAATTACTGTTGAGTTGAAGACGATGGCACGTTTGCTGCACTCCACAATTAAACAAGAAGACAACATAAAAGTAGGGGTCAGTACAAAACACGGGTACTGAGTAGATATCATCGGCCAACTCGAAATACGGAACAGTATATATCAAGTATTATCATAAATCAACTATAAAACTCAACATGCAACAACAACAAGTACTATAATCATCAATAAGTACCATCAAGTTCATACGTGAGGACTCAAGCCCCAATACCATACTCATTTCGGAATCATGTTCGTTAGATTGAGTATATTAACATCTTTCAAGATTCATTATCTTTATTTCTCTCGTGTCGGTACGTGACACTCCGATCCCCTAAATCTACGTGTCGATTCGTGACACCCGATCCCCTAATTCTACGTGTCGGTTCGTGACACCCGATCCCCTAATTCTACGTGTCGATTCGTGACACCCGATCCCCTAATTCTACGTGTCGATTCGTGACACCCGATCCCCTAATTCTACGTGTCGATTCGTGACACCCGATCCCCTAATTCTACGTGTTGGTTCGTGACACCCGATCCCCTACATGTGTCGGCCACGTGACACTCCGATCCACTAATATCATTCTGTAAATCATCAAGCCTTCTCCATACCAAGGCATCATTATTAATAATGTATGTTCAAGTTTCTTTTCAAGATTTGGGATTCAATATTTTCATCATACTTAACTTATCACAATCACATCATCATATTCATGCAAACATACAATTAAGCATATAGTAGGGTTTACAATACTACCAATACATATCATTCTCTATTAAGAGTTTACTATGAAAGCATGAAAACCATAACCTACCTCCACCGAAGAATTGAAATCAAGCAAGTTAATCCTCAAAGCTTGGCATTTTTCCTCTTCTTCTCGATCGTTTCTCTCTCTCTTTCTCTGTCTCTCTTTGTTCTTTCTATTTTTCTTATTCCCCCCTCTTTCTTTTACCCTAATTAGTATATAACTAAGAATAAAAGGTGGCAATAATACCCCACTAATTAAACTTAGGGTTACCTCTTTTAACCCTCAAGAATATGAGTTATTAACATAAACCCACGAAGTCTATAATTAAGGAAAGAATAGTCCAAAAACGTCCCTTAAAACTCCACCAGAAATCCGACTCTGCCTGGGATTTGCGTAACCTGTGACGAGCCGTCGTGCCTGCGACGGTCCGTCCTGCAGGTCGTAGCAGAGTTCAGAGACCCAAATTTCCTCCAAGGGTCTGTGACGGTCCGTCACACCTGTGACGGTCCGTCCTGTCATTCCGTCACAAAGTTCAGAGAGTTGATCCTCCGTACCCAATTTCAGATTTTCTAAGTATTTTGGGACGAGACCCCCTCGACGGTCCGTCGTGCCCATGACGATCCGTCGTGGGGTCCGTCGCTTCTGCCAGTTTTTTCAGAATTGAAGTCTGTTGCTCAAAACGACCCACGGGTCGTTACATTGAAGCACCCAAGTATCATATACATAATATCGATTTAGTAATATATGTGGTGATTTGTACCAATCTTATAAGATATAATTTGTACCATGTTGTGTGAAAAATAAAATTGTTATTTCTGAAAACAATATTGTATCATATATTTAATAATTTTGTGGAAATTTGTACCGATTTCGGTTTCACTGTAGTATAAGCTAAAGTGATATATATAATACTTATGATATACAAAAGTTAATAACGTATTAAAATGTATTGAAAACGAATTTAAAAGCGACATAAAAACTCTTCAAATTTAGAAGTATGAATTACTTATAAATATAATGTTAACCTGGAAAGAAATAATCCAAAACACTTGGGGGTATTTTTACTATTATTCTACATTATTCAGTTCATCATCTGACAATGTAATGAAGAAGACACCATTTAGCCTTGTAGGATCATCATTCTTGTTGCATACATTGAGCGAAGATATTCACTTCTGAAAGGGATCGATGGGACATTCATTTCGTCGCTAAAACATTTAGCAAATACAGCTACTTACATTACCAGTCACTGCAAACAAAAAGAAGATATATTATGAATTGAATGAAACGTGTAAGTAAAGTTGGGTGAATACAATACCGACAGGCCATCACTCTTCTGTTGCATTATGTCTCGAGTAAATTACACCTCAAACGGGTGTTGTGGACCCAATAATTCACCACTTTTGTTTTATTTATATGCATCCAAAGCTACCGAATCATATTCAGCAATTCCATAAACATCAATGATGTTGATCCGTCACTAAACCGATAAATGATGCATATAGAACTAAAAGGGAAAGGCCAGGACATTGATTCAAAATATTATGTTTCAAATCATTTTATACTATATGATAACAATACATGACCGATACACAAAATCAACAAAACATAAAATGGAATATATATATATATATATATATATATATATATATATATATTTATTGAGAATTATCTTTTTTTCATGAAAAAATTAAACATGTCTTTCCTTTTTTATAGAAATTTGAGGCCCTAGAAAATTGAACGCTTAAGGCAGTAGCGTAGAAATTCATAGGCAAGAGCCGATCTTGCTATGACCAACATTTGTATTTATCCTTTTTCTTATTTTTTTAATTTTTTATTGAAAATTTTGATTAATTAATGCTATTAATCTATATCTATCTATATCTATATAATAATATAAATCTGAATTGTGGCATGCTTCTAAAGCCAGGATTCATTTTTTTTATTTTGACATTTTTTTTGAGTTTTCTTCTTAATTATCTATTTAATTATTTAAAATCTATATAATAATATAAATTTGAATCATAAGGAGGCTGATGTGGCATGCTTCTAAAGCCAGGATTCATTTTTTTTATTTTTTGACATTTTTTTTTAGTTTTCTTCTTAATTATCTATTTAATTATTTAAAAATCTAACATATTTATTATATTCAATTATTATTGATGAATTACAAAAAAACCTCCATCTTTTTGCATTCTCCACTTAAATAATGTGTCTTCTCAACTTCCTCCTTTATTCTTAGACTCAAATAATCTATAAATAACAATTATATATGGAGTGTTTGATACACAATATATTATTTTTGTGGTCAGACATTTTTTTTTTGTTTCACTTAATTTTCTTCTCTTTTTTATTTTTTAAATTTTGGAGGAACATCAAGCAAGCTTCATTGAACATACATGCATGTATCAGTGAGAGGAAGATCAACAACACACCAATCAACAACAACAACAATCAGAAAGAAGACAAAAATAACAAGCAATAGAAAAAGAACAATAAAATTGACACAACACACTACAAGTTAATTTAGAGATGAGGAGAATAGATCTTAGAATGAACAAAAACATCGTGGCTCTTTTACTTTGTTTGTTGTTCTTCCGACGATGGAGTGTTATTTTTTCATGAAAAGAGAAAGAGATGATTTCTCATGATAATTCTGAAGATATTGATGCAAGAACAAAATCATGCAATAATCAATTTTTTTCAAAATATAAACAGTTTTTGAAATGACACTGCACTATAATTTCTTCTTCTACAAAAATTATATATTGAGAGAAATAATCATTTTGATTGAGTAACTTATAGAATGAATAATAAGTGGTCCAAGAGCAAGAAAAATTATTTAGAGAGATTTAATTTATTTATGGAATTCATATTAAATTAGGAGGAGAATAAGGAGAAATCTACCAATATTTTAATTTCAATTTTTTTGTTTTTTTTCTTAAACCGTATTTCTAATTTATTTTTCCTTATCTATCTTTAATTAATGTTTGTTTTATGATCTTTTATATATTTCTAACTGAAGTTTGTCTATATTTTTGTAAAAAAAAATTGTTTTTAGATTTGATGTTTATTTCTAATTCTAAACAACCGAAAATTTCACTTTCAAATTTTACTGAAGATCAAAGCAAACCATATTTAATTTCATTCATCATTAATTTTACTTCCTTGCCTTAATTTGATCTCTTTATAATTTATATCATTTCTTTAAATTGCTTCTTTCCTTTTCTTTTTTCTAAAATTTTATTTATTTATTTATTACAAGATAATAAATATTATAAATTTAAAAGAATTGCATGTATATTTTACAAAATTTAATTTTTTTTAAATTAAACTTAGTTCATTTCTTCTGCGAAAAGATTCATATCTATACGTAATAATAATAAAGTTAAAGTTAAAAAAGGATGACAACCTTCTCATTTAAAATATTAATTTATTTTATCATATTTTTATAACACTTTCTCTTATATTTTCTTAAAATAATTGCTAAAAATTGTGTCTAGATTTATTTATTTATATTTCTAATTCTTATTTTGTGTATTTTACCTAATTTTTAATGAATTTTTTACCTTGAAATTTTGCACAATATCAAATATGACCATACTTAAATCCTTTCATCATAGATGCAATTAATTTTAAAATTTTCTTTCCTTAAACTCATCATTAATGTACTTTATATCATTTCGTTAAATTATTTGTTTCCTTTCTTTTTTGTTATATATTTCCGATCAATTTCATCATGTTTACGCATGTGATCACTATTAGGCTTAAATTATGTGGAATCAGATCATGACACAAACTCACCATGCACTAACACCTATCATCTTCAACTTCTCACCGAGGTGCTAATATTTTCGGTATTGCAACTAGTGTCCTCACTTCAAAACAAAATCCTCATTTTTCACACAATAATTTCAGTTTGAGTATAAGAATTACTTTTCATCACTCACTCTCAGAACAAATTCACACTCATTCATACATATTGCCATAAGCTTGCCCTTATTTTCACTGCTTTAAGTTCGCTATACAACTCTTAGGATCACGATAGGACTTTCTTAGCTTGTAACATAAGTTCAAGGTCAGGTAGGGTATATTTAGTTATACTTTAGTGACATTTTGCCCTCCTTGACATATCGGCTAAACATACCATTTTCTATCATTTTATTTTGTCCAGTTTCTCATATTCTTTCACCTTGATATTTTCCCTTCTTTCTTCATTTGTCTAAGTGACTCTCTTCTTTTCTTACTTGTATTTCTTGTATATTTTTTATTTATTTATTTTCCTTTTCTTTCAACTAATTCTTGAGTTACTATACTTTTGTTCTCTCTCTCTTTATTCTTTCAACCCCACTTTCCAGAGCATTCCTCATAATAACCACCCTCAACTCATGGCTTTGCCATGAGTCGAAGTACACAATACCCAAAGTTGGGTCAGGGCCATAAAAAGGGTTGTTTACGACATTAGCCACTCTCAACTTATGTTTTTGGCATAAGCTGAGATGCACATGTGTAAGGAGGGACCAGGGCCAACACATTATTCTTAGAAAAGATCAGTTGGGATGAAAAAGAAAGGTCTAGTTTAAGCTCAAATCATTTGGATAAAAGAAGAATTAATTTCATTTGGTTTTCCTTTTATTTAGGCTCAAAATGGCTATTATTGAATAAGAGTCTATGGTTCTTTCCTAATTGTTTATTACAACTTACTTTTAGCACGACTAACCAGACAAGTTCTAGCTCAATACAAATAGTGGATTATCCAAATCTTTCTCACACTTACTTGACATCTCATTACTCTACCAGATTATCACACACCTAGTTCGAATTTTAGACTTAGCATCATGCAGTGGTGTACCTCTATGTCATGCTTAGAGCCACACATTTATCAATTACTATGCCTAGTCATGCATCATTTTCATTTTATCAGGATATCATTTTAGTCATCATACTTCAGAATTAAACAATATACACAAGATATAGACATGTCGATTCAACATAAGAAGTCTATTGGGAAAAAAGAACACATGCAAGAAAACCCCAAAGGAGTATCATGAATTGGGCTACTCAGACTTCACCCTAGCACTTACTTTCCATTTACCCCCCCCAAACAAAAAGATATGCAATTGTCCCCAATGCATAAAAAAAACTGAAATACGAGAGTGGTAGGTGAAGCAAACCTGGGGCGCAAAGCACTGGCGATCAGCAAGCTGGTGCGTCCGAGTCCCCGAAACCCATTTCATATGTAGTATGAACACCCTCAATAGTGTCCTCATCAGCAACAGCACTATCAGTAGTGCCTCCTACTGTCTCCACATCTTTGGAGCTAGATGCCCCAGCAGCCGACTCTGCAACTCTGATCCGATGCGCCTCCTCATCAGCAAGCAAGGCTCTCCTCGCAGCCTCCATCTCACGGCGCTCCTTCTTCTGTGCTCTAGCATCATACTCCTCTCGACCCCTACGCCTCTTGGCATGCTCTCGAGGAGGAGGTGATGGAATCTCAGAAGTGGCGAATAAGGCAGTCATCACTGTATCCTCAGCAGGCTCTGCAGAAGGGGCTTCAGACTCAAGTACCCTAGCCTCTAGGATCATATCAATATCTTCTCGCAGACTCTCAACCGCAGCCTGAAGGGTCGACACGTCCACCTGAGGGGCAGGCCGGGCTAGCACCCGCAACTCAAAAGCGTCTAAGCGCTGATGAACCTCAGCGATCTTCCGCTTCAAGTGCTAGACCATTTTACGCTCCAAGCGCTCCTCCGCCTCAGCAAGAGACCTTTGCATCCAAGGATGGATGTGATGCAGAAGTGTGGCCATCTGAACCTCTAGTCTCTGGACTCTAACAAGCGGGACCAAAGCGGGGAACGGGGATGAGCGAGAGGAGGTAGGGGCAGTGCTACTACTCGGGATAGACTTGACCGGGGTAGTGTCAGTGGTTTCAAGAGCAGTCTGCGTAGCCGTTCGAGCATGTGCTACCGTATCCGCCATATTTTCACTAAGTGGAGGCAACTATGGAGTTGATTTTGCAAGATGAAAAGGTAAACTTAATTCAAATTTGTGTTTTTAATGTTATTCTCTACTTATCAAATTCTATTATACACATTATTATTAATTTTAATGCTTAATGATTATACAAATTTTATTTGCATATAAGATGATCGAATACATGCTTCTATTGATAAGTTCACAATAAAATATTTCAGAAACAAGATTTATGATCATGATTTATATCGAATGAAATATTTTGTCATATATGTTTATCACTCGGATTTTAAATCAAATTCTCATAAACACAAGCTTACACTCACTTAAAATACTATTATGACTGAAATTGAAGATTCATCTTTTTCATATGGATGTTTTGAAGCTACATACTTTTGAAGAAGTTGAAATTCAGAACAACATTAACGAGAATAAACTAATTGATAAGTAATAATTTTTTTATATTATTCTTTTCATTATTATATTTGAAATTTTAAATGTTATAACTAAAAATTCATTATTTTTTCAGATGTTGTTGGACATGCTGTTTCATATGGACCAATTCAATTGTCACAGCAAGGAGACAACAATTGTTCTTATGAATATTGTTGTAGAAGATGAAATGTAATTATCAATAATTTACATTTAATAGATATATACCATTATAAATTATCATTTTAACAACATTGTTTACATAAGAGAAACAATTTTTCTGTCACTTTATGGGGTGATCTTGCCTTTCAAATGCAATCATATTTATCTCGATTTTAATAAATGTTATAATTTATTTTACAGATCTATTCTATTCATACTTCCAATTTGAAAAACAAGTTTTACAACTCCTTTGTATTATTAAGTACTCCAAATGAATTAGAATCAACAAATATACAAATACAATTATATGATATATTTACAGGTTACTTGCATCTGGTAAATATGAGAAGGTTTTACAAACAAGTTCACAACGACATATTTCATTTTCAGAGGAGTTGTCTACATGAATGGTCTCTTTTAAATTTATTAGATATTTTCCTTCAATGCAATGAAGTGAGTTGTATGTATTATACTACTAATTATAATCTTATTTTTTTTTATAATACATATAATTGTCTAAACATTATGATTAACTCATAGGAGGCTAACTATTGGATTGCGGTAAAGGTTTTTCCAATTTTTTGTTTGGAACTTGGTCACAGATGGTCATACTTGGCTTGAAGTAAGAGTGTAATAAAGTTTGATCCTCCCGGAGACAAATATGATTGCGTAAAATGCAATGTTGAATTATATATGTTATTCACAGGTTGGTCCAAACAATATAGATGTTTAAAATTTAAATTAAATTTATATAACGCTCTATTTTGTACTTTTTAGGTATCGACTTTAAATGCATGTTACCGATGACACTGGATTTATATCATTATTATTGTGGAATAAAGACGTTCTACAACTAATTGGAAAGGTTGTCCAGTAGTTAAAGGCAGGATTAATAGGAGATGTTGACATGGGTTATCCAATAGAACTTGATGCTTTGATTGAGAAAAAGCTCATGTTTAAAGTCCAAATACAGGATTCAAACATTAACAAGAATGATAATGTTTACAAAGTAGATCAGTTCATTGATGAAGAAGCATTAGTCTAGGAATATTGTAATCCTTCTACAATTTGAATGCAAGTTTCTATATTATTAAAATTTAACTCCGATTTTCATTTAAATAAATTAACTATAATTGTTGAAATAGAAGGATTCCTTGAATGTGGTCAAAGCTATAATGAAGATAGTCTGTGGTATATAATTTAATTCAACATATATTTCCTCATTTTAACTTTTCAGCTTTTAAAACACAGTATGTTATTTTAAATTGTGTATTTCTACTATTCTAGCACACATAAATTATTACATTATGGGTGTATGTAAATTATTTTCAGACGCCTTTCAAGAAGAGCATTTCAGATTATGCTTCTTCACAAAATGAAGGTGTGATTGATTTGACTGGAACATTATGTCCCAATAGTGGCAAACACATTGGAGTTTGACCAACACATTCAGATGACGAGGGATTGAACGTCAAACTACCAAGTAACAAGCTATGCAAAGTTATAAAGGAGGAGAAGAAAACAATTTTTTCAACTAGGAAATAGGCTTTAATTATTGAAGTTAGTTTATTTTAGTATTAAACTTCCCAAATTATGTTTAAGAATGTATTTCATTGTGTTAGGACTGAGTGTTCTTTTTACTTCCTATATATGCATATGATGTTCTTTTAACTTTTTAAAATGTGTTATCTTTGTGTGCTATATTATCAAGTATCAACTTATCAATATACTAATAGCTAAAATTGCCAGAAAACCTCAAATAACGATGTGGTAAATACAGATAATATTAAGAATGATGATACAAATAGTAACTACATACTTACCTTAGGTAGTCCATAGGCATCAATTGTCATTTCCAACAACACATTTGCGTAAAATATTCCATCCATCAAGCTATAGTATAAGTATATTACCTGATATATTTGTATTCATAATAAAATATCACACACAAATAAATTGAAATAATGCCAAGAACAATGTTGATAACAGTATATCCATACTGACCTTAAGTAGTCCATAAAATTCAATTATCTTTGCCTCCAATACTTCTTCATTAAACAACCTCTAAGCACTCTACACAACATTAAAGGCAAATATATTAAAAACAAATTAGAAACCTGTTTTTAATTAAAATGAATTAAGTTTGAAGTAGTGATACGATAACAATGTACAAAAAAAATTACAAATATCCAAGATATCATAAAACCAAGTCTATACTAATCACATAAAAATAACCATCTTTATAGATAATCAATAAAAAGGCTTAAATAAAAATGAAAAGTGGTCATAAGTAACACCAGAACCGCCTTAACATGTTAGCTACCAGAATAGCTATATATTTCCTCAGGAAATCAAATAGTTACTGTCATAATTTGCACAATTGTATAGATATGATACAGAAAATGAGATGCAAAATAGAATTAATGTTAATTAATTATCAGGTAAGTATTTATAGTACATATAAATTTACAAAGTTTAATATAATTATAATTATTAATCACTATTATTTATATAACTATTTCTTCTTTAGTCTAGTGAAAACAACAGTCAAATTTGCTCAAACTGTTAATAATCTCAAGAAAATGCTAGATGAATACAATGTGTTCACAAAATCTTTTTCGATAGTCTGAGAGAGATTCAAATTGATCAAAGTGCTAATGTTAAACTAAGACTGAGAGAAAAAAGAGGAACAGGTGGAAGAAAGGTACAATTTGTCAACAGTTTCTGAGATATCAGCTTTTGGTGGTTGGTGATTTTGAAGCAATCAGTTCTGACATAGATATAATAGTTGAAAGTCATTCTGGACGATTTAATAGAATAAGTGAATTAAATGCAGCATACTTATGTTTGTAATATCCATTACTTTTTTCATTTGGTGAAGATGGATATAGAGAAGATATTCCTTAAAATGGAAGTTTGATTAATCATCTAATGGAAGGAAATATGTTAGCGTTCTTGAATACTTTTCATACAAAATTCAAGAAAAGGAAGAATGAAATCCCTACAATTGTATCGGTCAAAAGATAATTTCAACAATGCTTGGTAGATAGATATACAATGATAAAATCTTCTCGATCGTTATTTTATAGGCTCCATCAACCACACTTGAGAGCAGAATTCTATAAGAGATTACAAGAAGTTGTTTTGCAGGGAGACACTCAACCTTCTTCTCAAGGACAAAGATTAATATCTTGTTCTTTCACTGGAGGTACACGTTACATGTTGCAAAAATATCAAGACACAATGACAATATGCAAATGGGCTGGATATCCTGATCCATTTATTATATTTACTTGCAATTCTAAATAGCATGAGATCACTAGATTTGTGAAAATTAGGGGATTGGCTCCAGAAGATCGGCCAAACATTGTAACGAGCGTCTTTAAAGTCAATTAGATCACCTGATTAAGGATTTGCAAGACAAAAAAGTTTTTGGACAAGTAAAAGCAGGTATATTATTGACTTATTACTATACCACAATTGTTTATTTTAAATTTAATATTGAATTTCAAAAGCGTGGATTGTCTCCTGCACATATTTTGCTATTTATGTACAATAAATCTCTGAATATTGGTGACATTGATGATATTATTTCAGCTGAGTTGTCAAATAAATTAATTGATCCGAATTATTATGTGATTGTTACAAACTTCATGATGCATGACCCATATGGTTCTGTTAGAAAATCATCTCCTTGCATGCAAACTGGAAAATGTTCAAAACACATTCTAAAAAGGTTTATTTCTTCTATACCTCAATTGATGAGGAGGGATGTCTTGTGTTATAGAAGAAGAGATGATGGCACATCTACAAAGAGATCAAGTATTGATTTGGATAATAGATATGTTGTACACACAATAAATTTTTGTTCTTGAAATATGGGGCGCATATTAATATTAAATGGTGCAATCAATCAAGGTCAATTGATTACTTATTTAAGTATGTTAACAAAAGTTTATGACCGTGTTACAACTGTTTTTTGTGATAGTGGGAATCTTCATATTCAACAAGGGTTGATGAAATAAAAAATGTGTTGTGATTGTCGATATATATCACCATGTGAAGCAGCTTGGAGAATCTTTAAATTCCCAATTCACCATAGAGAACCTTCGGTAGAAAGGTTATCTTTTCATTTACCAGGAAATCAGAATATACTAGGTTCATATGATGATTTAATTGATGTTGTCATCAATAAACCAACCATAAAGGAATTCAAGTTTTTAAGTTGGTTTGAAGCAAACAAGGGAATTTTCTGAAGCAACAGATTTAACCTATGCAGAATTTCCTTTTGAAGTTTGTTTGGAAACAACAACCTAAGAGATGGGATAAAAGAAAAACTTCTGTATTTTCGATTGGAAGAATTCTTTTTGTTTCCCCGGGATCTGTAAGCAATATTATCTTAGATTGTTATTCAATATTGTTAGAGGTTCCCTCACTTCATATGAGGATATCAGAAGAATAAATGATATTGATCATAAGACTTTTAGAGATGCATGTTATGCTTTAGGATTATTAGATGATGACAAAGAATATGTTAACACTATAGTAGAAGCAAGTCATGTCTTCATATCTAAAACAATTATTTGCTATGCGACTTATATCAAATTTAATATCATGCCTGGAAGTTGTTTAACAATCAACAAGAAATTTATTATCTGAAGATATTCTTCATGAACAAAGAAAAGTATTAGATAACCCATGTACCCAATGATATTTTTAAATTTAAAATAATCTTATTAAAATCATGAAATCTATATTATTTTTTTTATTAATTATTTATTATATTTATGTTTAAATATTAATTTATTATATATTTATATTTTTTCATAAGCTGATCTATCAGATGCTGATTTGAAGAATTGTTGCTTGCAAAAGATAGAAAGTTTTTTAAAAAGTTGTGGAAGAAGATTTTCAGATTTTCCTACAATGTCAATACCTGTTTACAATGAGGATGATGTTGACATCACTAATAGATTAATTTGTGATGAAATGCGTTAGAATAAACGCGCATCAACAATTGCTATTTAATTTAACGGATGAGCAGAAGTCAGTTTATAAAAAAATATGGCAACAGTTCATGAAAAAATGGATGGATTTTTCTTTTTATACGGATTTGGAGGAACAGGAAAACTTTATAATTGGAAGACTCTATCAGCTGCCATAAGGTCTAAAGGAGATGTTATTTTAATAGTTGCATCTAGCGAGATTGCATAACTTTTATTACCAGATGGCCGAACAACATATTCAAGATTTGTTATCTCGCTAAATATAATTGAAGACTCAACATGCAATTTAAAACAAGTTATTCCTTTAGCACATTTGCTAATCAAGACTAAGTTGATTATCTGGGATGAGGCTCCCATGATGCATCGACATTATTTTGAAGTTCTTGATAAGGCTTTAAGAGATATTATTGGCTACAAAGATGAATCCAAGTCAGAATTACCATTTGGTGGTAAAACAATTGTTCTTGAAGGTGACTTCAGAAAAATTCTTCCTGTGATCCCCAAAAGGGAGTCGACAAGATATTGTAAATGCAACTCTCAACTCTTCATATTTATGGCTCCATTGTGAATTATTAACACTGACAAAGAATATGAGAATGCAAAACAGTGATACTGCTTCTGATCTAAAAGAGTTGAAAGAATTTATGATTGGATATTGACAGTTGCGGATGGTAGTATTGGTAATTCATTTGATGAAATTGATAAAGTTTTAACAGCAAAGGATCTTCTAATAACTGAGTTTACTGATCCAACAGCAGCTATTGTGGAAAGTTATGTATCCAGATTTAGTACTAATGGTAATAATGTTGGGTACCACAGCAAAGAGTCATTCTTGCTCTGACTCTTGATATGGTAGAATCAATCAATCATTATATGATCTCTTTGAATCATAATCCAGAGAAATCATATTTGAGTTCTGACAAAATATGCAAGTCTGTCATACTTATTCAGCTTTAGAACATGTACATACCCCAGAATTTTTTAACACTATTAAATGTTCTGGAGTTTCAAATTATTCAGTCACTTTAAAAGTTGTAGTTCCAATGATGTTACTAAGAAATATTGATGACGCAGCAGGATTATGTAACAGAACTAGGTTGATTGTTACTAAACTTGAAAATCAAGTAATTGAAGCAAAGGTTTTATCTGGACAGATAGCTGGACAGAAGGTATTTATTCCAAGAATGACTTTAACACCTTCAGATGCCAGAATCCCATTTAAGTTTCAAAGAAGACAATTTGCCATGACAATCAACAAAAGCTAAGGACAGTCATTATCTCATGTTGGATTATTTTTTAAGAAATCAATTTTTACTCATGGAGAACTTTACGTAGCTGTTTCGAGAGCAACAAGTAGACAGGAAATTAAAAAAACTGAGTTACGAATTACAATGAAGAAGGATAATTAATGAATGAGGTTATAAATGTAGTATATAAAGAAGTGTTCCAAAATCTATTGTGATATACAGGTTATTTGAGATATTGGATATTTTTATGTATATTGAAATTGTTAATGATTATTATAAAACAATTCAGAAAAAGTAGTTGTTATAATTACGAAATCATTTAGAGGTATGTTATTTTAACTCCTTAATAATTTTTTGTAATATTATGTTTTGCATAGTATACCTAATTATAACATTATATGATCTAAAATGTTATGCGATTACTTAAATTAATATAGAGATTTATTAATTTTTAATATTTTATCATGTAAATTGATTGATTTACCTAATTATAACATTATATGGCAGTTAAAAAAGGTTAGAAAGTGTTTTATGCAATCAAAATAAACAAGAGTTCTTCTAAAAGGCACAAATATTGATAATGAATTTTTCGGTACAATTTTAATTTTTAGTATTTGCATTATACATTATCAGGTATAATTTTAATCTCAAATAATTTCATTCTAATTCTCTAATATCTTCTTTATTCTTCTCTAATATTTTCGTACTGTTTTATCATTAGTTTTTTTAAAAAAATATTTATAATAGTTATAATATTTAATACCTTAAATAGATTAATATTGTCAACTCTTTATTTGCCAATGGTAGATAAAACATCTAATATTTTGAGTTCTTGAATTTGAAGAATTGGTAGCAAGAGTTTGAAATAGTGGAGGGGAATAATACACTTAATGCATATGTTGGAACAATTTCACATTTAAGTAACTGAGTGTGTTTTGGAGATAGTATCAGACTCTTACATTATTTTAAATGGAACCGCGTATTGACATTTTTTTAAAAACTAAACTATATATATATGTAATGGAGGGCTTGGTTCTAAATACATTTAAACTTTAAATTTAATATTGATATCATGTAACAAGTATTTAAAGGAGTTCATATATACTTTCAGAAATTCCAAATAAGCAAATTAAAAATAGACCCCAATAAGTTTGAACAAGTAAACACGCAATTATATACGTTATGTTGATTTTAGTGGCCTGAACTATAATCTATCAAATACAGGAATTAGATCAATAAGCTATTCATCTGAAGCATGAATCATAATATAGGTATGAGCACATTGAAAGTACAAAAAATATCATTATAAACCAAATTAAAATATAAAGACTGCTACAAAAAGAAATCAATTTAGAGGAAAATAAAATAGCTTAGCTAAATATTTGTAGATTTAAGACATATTTTCGAATTTTAAAACACAAAAAATCAATTCCCTGCATCCGCAAGAATCAATAATTCATCACAATCTACCCTAACAACATGGTTAAGCATAAAAATAAAAAACAAAGATAGAGTTCTAACCTGACATTGCAAAGATCGTAAAAACAGACACGGTCATATAATAAACTCTCCGACACCAAGCAAAATAACAAAATCTGCATCAACACAAGCTTATTAGAACTATGTAATAGCATGCATGTACTAATTAAATTAAATTTAAAATGTCTTAGTTGACCATCCCAGATAAAGTAACAACGAGGCAAAAGATAGCTGAAGAAGACATCAACCTATAAATTTTGCGATATTAACTCCACGACAAGAAGTTGATGCATGCTAATATTCTTCAATCAAATTTCTTATTAACCAAGTTCAATTCAAGAAATGAAGAAAAAAATGAACTCACAATTTCACAAAACATACGATTGTTGGTGGAAGGACTCTCAATCTATTACAATGTAACGACCTGTTTAGTCGTTTTGAGCAGCAGATTTTATTTCTGGAAAAACAGGCTGAGACGACGGAACCCACGATGGATCGTCATGGGCACGACGGACCGTACGGGGTCTCGTTTCAAAACACTTAGAAATTCTAAAATTGGGTACTGAAAATCGACTCTCTGAACTTCGTGACGGAATGGCAGGACGGACCGTCACAAGCGTGACGGACCGTCACAGAGCCTTCAATAAAAATTCATTCTCTGAACCTTGCGACGACCTGCAGGACGGACCGTCACAGGCACGACGGGCCGTCGCAGGTTGCGTAATCCCAGTTCGGGTCGAATTTCTTTATACGTTTTAAGGGACGTTTTTGACTATTTCTGCCTTAATTATAAAGTTAGTGGGTTAATGTTAATAAGTCTAATTACTTGGGGGTTAAAAGAGATAACCTTAAGTTAATTAGTGGATTATTATGGTCATCTTTTATTCTTAATTATATACTAATTAGGGTAAAAGAAAGAGGGTTTGAATAAAGAAAATAGAAAGAACAAGAGAGAGAGGGAGAATCGAACGAGAGAAAAGGGAAACGAAGAGGATAGCAAAGGTCTTGAGGAATTGCTTGCTTGATCACTAGTCTTCGATGGAGGTAGGTTATGGTTTCTCTTACGATATTCGTAGTAAACTCTTAATAGTAAATGATATGTATTGATAGTATTGTAAACCCCTCTATGTGCTTAATTGTATGCTTGCATGAATATGATTATGTAATTGTGAATAAACAAGCATGATGAAGCTATTGAATCTCAAATCTTGAAAGGAACCCTAATTCACTTGTTAATGATGATGCCTTGGTATAAAAGAAGGCTTGATAAATTATATAATGAGATTGATGATGCCTTGGTATAAAAGAAGGCTTGATAAATTATATAATGAGATTGATGATGCCTTGGTGTAAAAGAAGGCTTGATGAATTAGAGGATCGGGTGCCACGTTCCGGTACCAGGATAGAATGAGGATCGGAGTGTCACGTTCCGACACCAGGATAGAATATAGATTGGGTGCCACGTTCCGGTACCAGGATAGTATATGAGGATCGGAGTGTCACGTTCCGACACCAGGATAGAATATGGATCGGGTGCCACGTTCCGGTACCAGGATAGTATATGAGGATCGGAGTGTCACGTTCCGACACCAGGATAGTATATGGATCGGGTGCCACGTTCCGGTACCAGGATAGAATATATGGATCGGGTGTCACGTTCCGACACCAGGATAGAATGAGGATCGGAGTGTCACGTTCCGACACCAGGATAGTATATTGAGGAGCGGAGTGTCACGTACCGACACGAGGGGAATAAAGATAATGAATCTTGAAAAATGTTAATATATTCAAATCTAATGAACCTAATTCCCAAATGAGTATGATGAGGAGGCGTGAGTCATCATTGATGTGCTTGGTGTTGTAACCAAGGGTTATGATAACTGTAAATGCTGCATGCTAAGGATATTAGTTGATTTTATAATATTGCTTAATATATACTGTTTTCTATTTTGAGTTGGCCGATGATATCTACTCAGTACCCGTGTTTTGTACTGACCCCTACTTTTATGTTTTTCTTCTTGTTATTTGTGGAGTGCAGCAAACGTGCCGTCGTCTTCAACTCAACAGTAATTTTAGCCAGTCTTCGTCACACCGGATCTTCAAGGTGAGCTAACGCTTCTAGCTTGGACTGGATCTTCTTCTTCAAGTCTTGATGCCTTGAACTTCCGGCATGGACTAACTTTTATTTGTTTTAGCTTCTTAGAATACTCTTAGTTTAGTAATTTGATTATAAATGTTCTTGTGGTGATGACTTCCAGATTTTGGGGATAATGATAAGTTTTTGAGTTATAGAAGTTGATTATTGATTTCTACTTATGAGTTTAAGTCTTCCGCATTATTTTCTGTTGATATTATATTGAGATGTTAAGGTTTTAGATTGGTTGGTTTGCTCACATAGGAGGATAAGTGTGGGTGCCAGTCGCGGCCCGATTTGGGTCGTGACATACAATTTCGATCAAAATCTTATTCTCAGTGTGATACCTGCTTGAAGAAACTCTTTCTTAGTCTTTGTTCTAGATTGAAAGATCGAATATTGGAATGAATTTTTCTTTAACCATATTAAGGTTGATGAGGTTTAAAATTAAAGAACTCGTTCTACCAAGAATCTTTACAAGGAAACATCTTTAAAAATTAAAATTTGAAAGAACCCAATTGAGAATGGGTAACGGAAGAATATAAAGAAAACAAAGGAAGAACACTTACACTAAGATGAAAAAGTACACAACAGATTAGAGTTCTATAGACGAATCTTACTTTTCTAATCTCTAAAATTAAATTTCATCAGTGCATGTCTAGATAGATCCAATTTTTTTTAAGTTTTCATTTTGTTATTTTCTTATTTTCTGTTACTGAAGTTCTCTTCCAACTTTTTATTTTTGCATTTTTTTGTTATAGGTACAAAATGACTTACAAAGATCTACAAAGCTGAATACTAGGCTCACACCCTTTTGAGAGCTTGACAAGAACTCTTACCGGATAGTACACCTACAAAAAAGAAAAGAGTTAGATTATCAAAAGAATAATAGGAAGAAGTACAAAAAAAATGGAGCCCAAACCTTTGACAACTGAATTTTTCAACAGTCTTCATCATTGAAGAACATCAAGGGCGGCGGATAAAGATGCAGAAATGGAGAACTGAAAAAAGTGGAAAGAGAAGAAGGATCAAATTAGGTTTTGGGCCAACAATGTACTACTTTTCTTTGTTTTGTTTGAACTTTTAGCCCATCAAGGTATTAATAAAAGTACTTCAAAGTCCAAAATTAATTTTTTTTTAAAATTAAATAAATTAACTATGGCAAATGATTAATTAAAAATAAAGAAAGAAAAATGAAATTATTAAAATGTATGTCTTACTTGTAATCAAGACACGGTAATCAATACACCTAAAGAATTGTATATTTTATATTAATTCCTTCATTTTATACCTTCTTTGTCAATTTTTTAATTGTAATATTTAGTTTTCCCAAATTTAATTTGACCACTTTTTAAAATAAAATAAAATCATATTAATTTGATTTTTTATGATTTTTTTATATTCTAAAGCTATAAAAAAGTACTATAAATATTCATTATTTACATATTAATATGATGAAAAATATATCATAAATTATTAATCAAAGCTCTTATATTTTTAATCTTACAAAAATGACAATAAAAAGTGAATTGATGAATATTAGTTTATTATTATATTAAATATAATTATAGCATATTAATTTATCATTATATTAAATATAATAAATTTATATTAGTTGATCACTTTACTAAATTAATACAACTTAAACAATTTATTTTATTGCTCTTGCAATTAATTTTAAATTTTGAAAGTATTCATATTTGTTTGTGTAATTCACAAGAAGTATTATAAGGCGTGAACTATAAAAAGACTATTTCTATTTATGTTTTTTAAGCACCGTAAAAAATTAATTTTGATAAATTAATATGAGACGAAGAGAGTATTTCACATACACAATACTTTATTATATATTATCCTATATATTAATATAAGTGGCTTATGTTTATTATGAAAATTATAATTAAAAAAATTCTGTTTGGACCTCAAAACAACTATTATGATTAAAATAATTTCAAAATATTATATATTGTTTTTCATTAAATTTTTAGTTTATTTAATTTCTTTAGATACTTATATTCCATATAATAAAATATAATTCAATAAGGGGTCGTTTGGTACAAAAATGAATAATGCAGGGATTAACAATGCAGGGATTAGCAATGCAGGGATTAGTAATACATGGATTATTTTTATCAAGTGTTTGGTTCATTGTTTCTTATCTAATTTTATGTGTGGTTTAAAAGTTTTTTAAAAAAAAACTTTCCAATTATACCCTAGAGTTATTATGAGATTTTGTATTTCATGTAATTGAGTCAAAGTAGATAATTAACGGAGCATATTATTTTTTTATAACATTTTTAACTAGTTAGGAGAATATTTTTTTTTGTCATGTTCACTATTTTCTCACTTAAATTATTTGAGAGTAAATAATTGTCATCTTAATAAATTAGAGTTAATAACTCAAAAGGTCACACAACTATAATGATTATAGAGAAAATTTATTGAACTTTCTTTTGTATCAATAAACTTTAAAAAAACTCTTTAAAATAAACCCAAAACGGGTCGTGAATGGCACCCACACTTACCTCCTTAGGTGGGCGAACCAACACATCTAAACCCCAACATATACCAATAGTTCAACTATAAATAATATAAATAATGCGGAAGCTCCAAAAGATACCAAGCAACCAATTTAAATAAGTTTCTAAAGTTTAATACTTATCATCCCAAAATCTAATAGTCATCACATCAAGAACATCTATCCTCAAACTACCAAGTCTAAGAGTATTTAAGAAAACAAAATAAGTAAAAAGACGGTGCATGTCCGAAATTCAAAGACGTCAAGACGTGAATGAGAGAATCCAGCACGAGCTAGAAATAATAGCTCACCCTGAACTCTGATGTGTTGGAGACTGACTAAAGCTGAGGGCGAGTCGAAGTCGGTGGTACACTTGCTACACTCCACAAAAGAACAAAGAGGAAAAATACAAGTAGGGGTCAGTACAAGGAACACGTACTGAGTAGGTATCATCGGCCAACTTGTAACGACCCATTAATCGTTTTGAGCAGTAGATTTTATTTTCTGGTAATAACTGTCTGAGTCGACGGATCCCACGACGGACTGTCATGGGCACGACGGACCGTCGAGGGGGTCTCGTTCCAAAACACTTAGATTCTGGAAATTTGGGTACTGAGAACAACTCTTTGAACTTCGCGACGGAAGACCAGGACGGACCGTCGTGGGCACGACGGACCGTCACAGTCCCTTTAGTGAAAAGTTAGTCTCTGAACTTTGTGACGGAAGCAGCAGGACGGACCGTCGCAGGCACGACGGCCCGTCACAGACTGCGTAACCCTGACTGGGTCGGATTTCTGTTAAAAGTTTTAAGGGGCGTTTTGGACTATTCCTGCTTATAATTATAAAGTTAGGGGTTTAATGTTAATAATTCAATTACTTGGGGATTAAAGGAGACAACCTTAGATTAATTAGTGGGTTACTTTGGTCATCTTTTATACTTAATTATATGGTAATTAGGGTAAAAGAAAAAGAATTTGAATAAGGAAAAATCAGAAAAAGAGAAGAGGGAGAAATGAAGAAGAAAGCAAAGTATTGGAAAAGTAGATTTCTTGACTTCAAATCTTCGATGGAGGTAGGTTATGGTTTATGCTATTTCGTAGTCAAACTCTTAATAGCGAATGATATGTATTGGGTAATTTTGTAAAGTCTTCTATATGCTTAATTGTGTGCTTGCATGATATGATTATGTAATTGTGATGAATTAGCATGATGAGGTTGTTGAATCTTAAATCTTAAAACCTCTCTATTAATGATGATGCCTTGGTATAAAAGAAGGCTTGATGAACTAAAAGAATGAGGTTAATGGATCGGGTGTCACAAATCGACGCATAGTATTAGTGGATCGGGTGTCACGAACCGATACATAGTATTAGTGGATCGGGTGTCACGAACCGACACATAGTATTAGGGGATCGGGTGTCATGAACCGACACGTAATATTAGGGGATCGAAGTATCACGTTCCGACACAAGAGGATAAAGAGAATGAATCTTGAATTATCTTAATATACTCAAAGCTTAAAGAACCTTTTCTCAAATGAGTATGGTATGGAGGCTTGAGTCCTCATAGGTGTGCTTGGTGTTGTTGCCAATGGTTCTTGCACTTGTTGTTGCCGCCTGTTGAGTATTGTAGTTGATTTTATGATATTATTTGATATATATTGTTTTCTATTTTGAGTTGGCCGATGATATCTACTCAGTACCTGTGTTTTGTACTAACCCCTACTTGTATGTTTTCTCTTTGTTATTTGTGGAGTGCGGCAAACGTACCGTCGTCTTCAACTCAACCGCAACTCTAGTCAGTCTTCACCACGTCAGATTTCAGGGTGAACTATTGTTCCTAGCTCGGACTGGATTCTCTCTCATTCATATCTTGATGTCCTTGAAGTTCGGACATGGACTATCTCTTGTATTTGTTTTAGCTTCCTAGACATTCTTAGATTTAGTAATTTGAGGATAGATGTTCTTGTGATGATGACTTCCAGATTTTGGGGAATGATAAGTATTGAATTTTAGAAGTTGTTAATTGATTTCGTTAATGAGTTTTAAGTCTTCCGCATTATTTTCTGATTCTTATGGTTGAAATGTAGGGGTTTAGATTGGTTGGTTCGCTCACATAGTAGGATAAGTGTGGGTGCCACTCGCGGCTCGTTTTGGATCGTGACACAACTCAAAATAGAAATCAATATATATAAAACAATAGTATAAAATCAACTACAATACTTAACAGGTGGCAAACAACAAACACATGAACCATTGACAACAACACCATAATAGGTACATCATCAATCACAACATCAAGCACACCTATGAGGACTCATGCCTCCACACCATACTCATTTGGAAAATGGGTTCTTTGAGATTAAGTATATTAAGTTACTTCAAGATTTCTTGCATTTAATGTTATTGTGTCGTAACGTGACACTCCGATCCCATAATACCGTGTCGGAACGTGACACTCCGATCCAATAATACCGTGTCGAAACGTGACACTCCGATCCAATTATCTCAATATTTTATTTCATCAAGCCTTCTTTATTCAAGGCGTCATTTTACTAGAGAGGGTTCAAGATTTGAAATTCAACAATCTCATAATTTTAGGCCAACCACAAACCACACAATCAAAACATACAACCACACAATCAAGTACGTAGGAGACTCTACAATATCACTCAATACATATCAATCGCTATTTAGAGTTTATCTATCAAATAGAAATAAACCATAACCTACCTCCACCGAAGAACCGAAATCAAGCAAGCTACCTCTCCAATGTCTTTGCTTTCCTCAATGCCTACGAATCTTTTCAATCTATCAAATATATATATACATATTTGTAAGTTAACGAGTCTACCAACATCATATTATTCTATGTCTAGCCTAGACCCAAAATTTACCTAACTTTATATATATATTTCCTAAAATTCAAACCTAATAGTAAATCTTAATTCCTCCACTTAGCACAATTTTAGTAATAATCATATAATATAATACACTAAATATTTAATTACCTATCTCAATATATCGAACTTTAATTTCTTATATCATAACAAAGTTTTATAATATTAAAATTAGGCCACTGGTTACGAAATCAGTGGCAGAATAGCAACACCTTGAAGCCATTTCCTAATTTTTCCACCGACGTTACCAATTGAAGCCACTGGTCACGAGACCAGTGACACACATGCATGACGACTCCTTTTCTCAAGCAGCACCTCTATGTCCTTATTCCATTTTCCATCAAATAATATAATATAATTATATATATATTAACATTCCTCACTTTCTTTCCAATTTCATACACATATTCCTATTGTAAAATTTTAGCGAATGATTTACCTGAAGTCTAAGTCGCTTGCGTTCTTCTTTCGTTCACGCTGTTTTCTTTCGTTCTCCTCTTTCGTTTTTTTTATTTTTCTTCTACAGATTCTTTTTATCCTAATTCTTATTTAACCAATTATAAAAAGTAGTAAAAGTCACCCACTATTTATTTTAATATTATTTTCTTAACTACTAACTAAATAAATTAGTAAAACTACCCCACTAATTTCATAATTATAATTAT